AATGTTTTTGTTTTCAAGAAATAAAATAATGGTTAAGCGGTTGGTGGCTAATCGGTAGGGTTTTAATTGTTTAAATAAATGGGGTAATAGATAGTTGTAATTTTGTTAAAATATTTGAATTTTGGACTTGAAAGGGAGACTAGATAAATCGAATGAAGTTGTTTCATTCTCTAAATCGGACAAGATTTGTCTACATTAAAGTGGTAACGCTCCTTGGGTTGTGTTTATTTGGGTGCTTAAATATTTGGTGGGACAAGGGATTCTCTAAAAAGCTTAAAAAGGCGGGTGTTTTTCTGTTCTATTAAAAGAAATAAAAAAATCTTTTTTTCAATTTTAGAAGGTTTTCAACTCCCTCACCTTCACCAACCTCCATACAAAATAATTTTGTATCTCCATCAAGCTCAAATCTTTTAACACCAATTCCTTCAGAAATGCCTTCCTCAACTTTTGGATTATTTAAAGTTTTTATTGTGGCTTTAATTAGTATGTTGGCTGGTGCTAAAACAGCAGAATTTGGTGCTTCTTTTCTCGAAGAAAGTGAAATTTTTGTTCGTTCATCTGAAGATGATGATGATTAAAAAAAATTCTTTTTAAGTTCTCCCAAATAAATTTAATGTAATTTACTCGGTGCTTTTTAATATACTTTGTACAATTTAATTTTTATTATTACATATTCATGTGAGCGTTGTAATTTTGTTTTTTGATTTTCTCGTGCTTAAAAAATATCCAAATAAATATCTAAAAAATTTTACGATCTGATTTTATTTGATTAAAATAAACAAATAGTACATAAGTCAGGGCAAAATATTATTAAAAATAATTCTAAAGAAAAAGTAAACCTAATTTCCATTTAAGAGAAATTTTCACAAAAAAAACGCAAATTACTCTAAGGCAGTAATAGATAAAGGCCGGAAAGCGGACTAGGTGAGAGATCAGAATCAGGAGTGGACGCAAGAAACAATCCCCAAAAACGCAACGAAAGGCCAAAAATCAAAGCAAAACCATTGCGCCCGCCCCTGATTCTGATCTCTCACCTAGTCCGCTTTCCGGCATTTATCTATTACTATAAACTAATTTTTTTTGAAAGTTTTATTAAACCAACTTTATAATTTTATTTCCTTATTTTATTTAAATAAAAATTTAAAATTTTTAAAAAATTAAAAATTTGCCACGCGAATCCTTTACTTAAGTAAATAAATGATATGAATAAATAAATGGAATATATTTAGTATATTTAAGCAAGTTTTAAAACCTCTACATTGCTTAATTTTTTATAGAATTTTTAAATATAGTTAAACAAGAGGAAATAAAAAACTGTATATCCCCCTTAATCCCCAAATCCATTAATTTTACTCTTAATTCATCCAAATCCATTTAATCCCTGTCTCTTACTATATCACTCATATATCTCTCTTGTTAATCCCGCAAATCACTGATATCATCAACTTCTCCAAAAAACATGGTTGCGTGTTCAAATTTTTCTGACCCGATCCGAAACCCGACCTGACTTTTTCCTTTACCCGGCCCGTCCCTGCTGTCGATCACTGTTTTACTGTAAATCTTAAATTGAGAATGACACTTTTAATAGATAGGCACTTTTAGAGTGGCAGAGAAATAGAATGACCTGATAAATTTATTTGATAAATAAATTTTTTTAAGATAATTTTGTTAAAAAAATGTCTCCATCAATTAAAATTTTTCTTCTTTTTATTTTTGCAACTTTAATAATTAATAGTCAACAACAATGTGTTCCTAAAGGTGGTGATTGTAGTTTTGATATGAGCGTCTCTAGTTGTTGTCAAGATAAAGAAACACTATTTTGCTTAGATTGGGGTAACAACAAAAATCAATGCCACACTTGTAAACCAAAGGGAAAACCATGTTATCCGGGAACTTTACAGAATGATAAATGTTGTAATGATTGTGATTATAAAAATACCGTTTGTAAATAAAGATGAGAAAGAATGTGTGGAGGATCTAAAAAGATTTAAAAAGAGAGGATTTTCTATTAATTTTCCAATTTTCTTTTATTTCATATATAATAATGGGCAATTAAACGCGAAAAATGTATTTTTAATTAAAACAATCGGGACTTTTTTTTTCAAAAAAATAAATTTATATGGTAATATTTTACACTATCTTTCCTCGAATTTGATATAAAAATTTTTTTATTTTTTTTTGTACTAGCAACACTTTGAAAAAATTAATGGTAACAAACACCTATTTATGATATATAAAATAAAATTTTAATTAAAATTAAATATTATTAAAAATTCTTTTTGAAGAAATTAAAATTTTGTTAATTTGAATGTAATAATATAAAATTAATTTTAACTCCACTTGCCACGAACAGAAATAGAACTTGCTACCTCTTGGCTGTTTCTACATACATAATATCAGAATTAATTATATTAATCTTAGATCCATAAAAAAGTATGAGATTGTAAATTCTTAATGATAATTTGTAAATATTATTCAATAAACATTGCAACTCTACTGCAAAAATTTCAGAAAAATCCGACAACGGGAACGCAAAAAATTCAAGGGGGTTATAATTTCTTAACACACAATAAAATAAATGTTTATAGTACCCAAAAAAATATTTAAAAATTTAAATAAATTTATATTGCAAGCATTTATGTATTAACACAAAAATTATTAAAAAAAATTAGAGTAAATTATCAGAAAGAAGAAAAGAAATTAAAAAAGTATTAAGGAAAAGATAAAAGTAATTATAATAAAGTAGATGCTTGAATTTATTTTAATTGTAATTTTAGTTTTTTTTTCGGCATTAAACCAACAACCTTAATTCTGACATTTATTTTCTTCACAACTTCCAAGACAACACTTTGGTCTTCCAAAGCAAAAGTCCCCAGCACGTTTACATTTTTTACAATTACTTTCTCTAGCACAATTTAAACCAAATATTACTAATTAAGTAAGAATTTAATCAAATAGGCAGAGATGTTTTAGGCAGAGATGTTTATTTGGCCCCCTAGTCTTTTTATATCCCTTTTTAAATATTGTAAACTTAATATATTTGTATTTTTTAACAGAGAAATTTTAATTTGTAACAAATTAGGGTTTAAATTGAATAAATTTTTTAATATTTTTATTTAACATTTTTTCAATTAAAACGATTTTTAACGATTTTTATTTTTTAAATTTCATTTTTAGTATAATTAATATAAACATTTTAGTAAATGTTTTTGTTTTCAAGAAATAAAATAATGGTTAAGCGGTTGGTGGCTAATCGGTAGGGTTTTAATTATTTTAGGCAAATGAGGGGTATTGTGTAGTTGTAATCTTGTTAAAATATTTGAATTTTGAACCTGAAAGGGGGACTAGATAAATCGAATGAAGCTGTTTCATTCTCTAAATTGGACAAGATTTGTTTACACCAAAGTTGGTAACTCTCCTTGTGTTGCGTTTATTTGGTTGATAGGGTTCTCTGATAGGGTTGGTGGGACAAGGAATTCTCTAAAAAGCTTAAAAAGTAGGGTTTTTTCTGTTCTTTTAAAAGAATTAAAAAAATTTTTTTTCAATTTTAGAAGGTTTTCAACTCCCTCACCTTCACCAGCCTCCATACAAAATAATTTTGTATCTCCATCAACCTCAAATCTTTTAACACCAATTCCTTCAGAAATGCCTTCCTCAGCTTTTGGCTTATTTAAAGTTTTTATTGTTGCTTTAATTAGTATGTTGGCTGGTGCTAAAACAGCAGAATTTGGTGCTTCTTTTCTCGAAGAAAGTGAAATTTTTGTTCGTTCATCTGAAGATGATGATGATTAAAAAATTCTTTTAAATTCTCCCAAATAAATTTAATGTATTTACTCGGTGCTTTTTAATATTTGTACAATTTAATTTTTATTATTACATATTCATGTGAGAATAGCGTTGTAATTTTTTTGTTGTTTTTCTCGTGCTTAGAAAATATCCAAATAAATATAGAAAAATTTTTACGACCTGTTTGATTAAATTTATTTAATTATTTTAAATTTAATTAATTTTATTTGATTAAAATAAAAAGGACATATGTACATAAGTCAGAGTAAAATATTGTTAAAAATAATTCTAAGGTAAAAGTAAACTTCATTTTCTTTATATTCAAGAGAAATTTTCATAAAGAAAAAACGAAAATTACTCTTAAGGCAGTATTAGATAAAGACCGGAAAGCGGACTAGGTGAGAGATCAGAGTCAGAGGCGGGCGCAATGCGTTTTGCTTTGATTTTTGGCCTTTCGTTGAGTTTTTGGGAAGTGTTTTGCCCGCCCCTGATTCTGATCTTTCACCTTCCGCTTTCCGGCCTTTATCTATTACAGTAAACTAATTTTTTGAAAGTTTTTTTAAACCAACTTTATAATTTTATTTCCTTATTTTATTGAAATAAAAATTTAAAATTTTTAAAAAATTAAAAATTTGCCACGCGATTCCCTCAATTAAGAGTTTTGACGTAAATCCAGCATTAAATTCATATTATATGAGAAAACTTCGCAGATGTATAAATAATATAAAATTTTAAAAATTTAAAATTTTTAAATAATTTAAAATTTGCCACGTGAATCCTTTAATTGAGTAAATAAATGGAATATTTAGTATATTTAAGCAAGTTTTAAAACCTCTATATTGCTTATACAATTTTTAAATATAGTTAACCAGGAGGAAAAAATCTCGATATCCCCCTTAATCCCCAAATCCATTTAATCCCTGTCTCTTATTATATCACTCATATATCTCTCTTGTTAATCCCGCAAATCACCGATATCAACAACCTCCGAAAAACTTGGCTGAGTGTTCAAATTTTTCTGACCCGACTTGAAACCCGACCCGACTTTCTCTACCCGGCCCATCCCTGCTGTCGATCATTGTTTTACTGTAAATCTTAAATTAAATGACACTTTTAATAGACAGACCCTTTAAGAGTGGCAGAAAAATAGAATGACAGGGTGAATTTATTTGATAAATAAATTTTTTTAAGATAATTTTATTAAAAAATCAAGAATGTCTCCATCAATTAAAATTTGTCTTCTTTTTATTTTCGCAACTTTAGTAATTAATAGCCAACAACAATGTGTTCCTAAAGGTGGTAATTGTGTGAATAAATTTTGTTGTGGTGATCTACTTTGCTTTAAATGGGGTAATGGCCATCAATGCCACACTTGTAAAAAAAAGGGAACATCTTGTAATCCGACAGCTTTACAAAATGATTTTTGTTGTAATGTTTGTGATTATAAAAATAAAGCTTGTACTTAAAGATGAGAAAGAAGTTGTGGAGGGTTTAAAAAGAGAGGATTTTCTATCAATTATCCAATTTTCTTTTCGTATATAATGAGCAATTAAACGAGAAAAATGTATTTTTAATTAAAACAATCGGGACTTTTTTTCAAAAAAATAAATCTATATGGTAATATTTTACTTTATCTTTCCTCGAATTTGATATAAAAAAATTTTTTGTACTAGCAACACTTTGAAAAAATTAATGGTAACAAACACCTTATGATAAATATGTACAATAAAATTTTAATTAAGATTAAATATTTATAAGAAATTTTTTAAGGAAATTAAAATTTTGTTAATTTAAATATAATAATATAAAATTAATTTTAACTCCTATTGCAAAGGAGTTAAAGGAGAGAAATAGAACCTGCTACATAATACAGAATTTATTATATTAATCCTAGGTTCATAAAAAAGTATGAGATTTTAAATTCTTAAAGATAATTTGTAAATATTATCCAATAAACATTACATCGTTACTCAAAAATTTCAGAAAAATCCGACAAGAAACTCAAAAAATTCCGTGGCGCGAACTTTGCGGACCCGAATTTTGCGGAACGAAAGTTGCGGACCCGAAGGTTGCGGACACGAAGTTTGCGGACCTGATTTTTGCGGAACCAAGATTTTAGGACCGACACTTGAGTAAAATTGAAAAATTAAAAATTTTATTTTTCGATGATTCCGGCAGAATTTACCATGATCCGTACCGGACTCATGATTTTTTCTTGATTTTTCAAAAATTTTTATCAATTTCTTATCTTAAAATTATTTCTAATTTAAATAATCGAGAAAATTCCTTGAAGAAATCATTCATATGGCCATTTCATAAGGTCATGTTGCCTGAATTTATCCTAATTAACGCCGCAGGCGAAAATTTTTAAAATTTCCGAGGTTCAGTAGACTCTATTGTCGGTACGCAAATTTTTGGTCCGCAAATCTCAGATCCGCAAAATTCGGGTCCGCATAGTTCGGGTCCGCATAGTTTGGGTCCGCAAAATTCGGGTCCGCAAAATTCGGGTCCGCAAAGTTCGGGTCCGCAAATTAAAATCCGCAAATTTAGGCGCGCCAAAAATTCAAGAGGTTTATAATTTCTTTAAACACCATAAAATAAATTTTTATAGTAGTATCCAAAAAAAATTTTTTTAGAAATTTAAATAAATTTATATTGCAGGCATTTATTAACATCAAAAATTATTTTTAAAAAATTAAGGAAACTACATATCAGAAAGAAGAAAAGAAATTTAAAAACTATTAAGGGAAAGAGTAATTATAATAAAATAATATAGTAATTATAATAAAATACTTGAAAGTATTTTGATTGTAATTTTAGGTTCTTTTCGGTTTTAAACCAACAACCCAAATTTTGACATTTATTATTTTTACAACTTCCAAGACAACAATCCGGTCTTCCAAAGCAAAAGTCCCCAGCACGTTTACAACTTTTACATTTACTTCCTCTGCCACAATTTAAACCAAAGAAACATCTATCGTAAATTATATGCCTCATTTTCCTTGTGGCATTGTTGTTGAAGACATTGATATATTGAGTTTGAATAAAAGTTAAAACGTCCAGGTTTATCCCAAGTACGGGTGCAATATTATAATATTACTAATTATGTAAGTCAGAATTTAATTAAATAGGCAGAGAAGATGTTTTGAATATTATATTTGAATAATGAAAATAAATTGAACAATTATTTATTTTCCCCAAACTTAGCTTCCTGGCACAAATTAGATAGAATTAAAACAAACTTTTAAGTAAATTTAAAGACAGAAAAAAAGAAAGCTTTTTTTTTGGTTAAATTTTATTTTTTAATTTTTAATATTTGTTTAAAAATAATTTTTATCTAAATATGTATTTGAGTAAATTTATTTAATTACATATATTTATTTATTCTTTTTTTTAATTAATTTATTTAAGACATTTTTCATTTTTTGAGAGATTTAAAAATAAATATAAAATACAAAAAAGAAATTAAATTTTCTATGTAATTATTTATTTTTAAATTTCAATAAAACCTTTAATTTCGAAAATTCGGTAGTAAGAAAAAAAGTCTAGGAAAAAGCCAAAAATTTTCTAGAGTAAATCTATGATGCTCTAACGATTGGTCAGTGTCATATTTTATTAAAAACGAGATTTTGTGAGCCACGAACTAGCTCATAAATTAAAAACCAAATTTAAATTCTAAACCATATTTCCTTATTTTATTAAAGCTCGAAGTAGAAATTCAAAATTTTAAAACCTCTAAAAAAGATTGACGTAATTCAAGATAAATTTATATGAATGGGGAATCTGTCACAGATGTATAAATATGGTTTTATTTTATAAAATTAAATAGCTATATTATAAAGCAGGGCTGAAGATTTTTTATTTTATAAGATTTTAAGATTTTTTATAATTTTATTTATACCGTATTTCCTAAAATAAAGCCCCATGGGGCTCTATTTTTCAACTATCCTCCAAAGTGGGGCTCTATTTTAGGGTGGGGCTCTAATTTAGCATGGGGCTCTATATTTCAACCTATTTTTCAAATTACAAAAATGAAAAATAGTTTATTTTTATTTACGAAATTTAGGAAAAATTTGCGATCTTCAATAGTTTTTGCAGACTTAAAATTTTGTCTATCTTCCAAAAGTTTCCTCCGCGGCGTTGAAAATAAAGAAATTTGACTCCTTGGCCTTCCAAGGTTCTCAAATAATAATAGTAAAGCGGTTGGTCCCGTTTCCCAATGCCTTCTAAATGGGGTTGCTGGATTGGAGTTTCGCAAGCTTACTTGTGTGAAACCCGCAAATTATAGGAAATAGGCAAGCGCTGGACATAGGGGAGTTTCGGATCGGGAGACGTCTTCCCTCCGAACCAGACACTCGATTGACTGACATCCTTTTTCGGACTGCTTACTCACCCAAATATTACAATATCACTTTTAATTGATTTAAATTTTTCTCATTCAATATCCCCCGAATGGACACTTAAATTCCTTCACCGGCTTTTCGCAGACTGTCAGTTTATGCTAAACTTTGGGTTGTTCTGGGAACTTCCGTTACTTAGCGCAAAGTTTAGAGCGCAACTATTCCTCAAGTGATTTCAGGTGGTCTCGGCCTTACAATATTAAGGAAGTTCCCTTAATCCAAAATAGCTCCCCACCCTTCTTAATTTTAATCTCTCGATATCCCGTTTAATCCCCAAATTCACTAACATCCATTCACTTTCCAACCCGTCTCCCCTTTTACTCACTTCTTAACAATTTTGTTTACCAATTTGGAATAAAAGTAAATTTAAAAAAAATGAGGTGGGGCTCTATTTTAGAGTGGGGCTCTAATTTAGCATGGGGCTCTAAATTTCAACTATCCTCCAAAGTGGGGCTCTATTTTAGGGTGGGGCACTAATTTAGCATGGGGCTTTATTTTAGGAAATACGGTAATTTTATATTTTTATAATTTATAAGATTTTTTAAATCTGTGGGAGCTTTGGGAGGAATTACTTCTTTAATATATACTTTTTTACCTCGTCTGCCACATTTTTTCAAATCTTTAGAACACGCTATAACGCTAAAATTGGCCAGAAATAACGCCATAACAAAAGCGGATAGCCTGCTGGTCTTATTTATTTTTTCCAATTGAATAATTTTGTAATTTTTTTGAGTCCATGGAAATTATTTAATAAATATAAATTTGTTTTTTTAAGACATTAATTTTACTAAAAAATCAAAAAATGTCTTCATTAATTAATTTCTGCCTTCTTTTTATTTTTACAACTTTATTTTTGTTTCAATTTTGTGACAGTTATTATTGTCTTCCTAAAGGTGCTGATTGTTCAACAAATAAAAATTGTTGTGGAGGTTTACGTTGCTTTAATTGGACTAACGGCAAGCAAGAATGCCACACTTGTAAACAAACAGGAAAATCTTGTAATCCGTATGCTGAACAGAATGATTTCTGTTGTAATAAATGTGATTCTGTCAAGAAAGTTTGTACATAAGAAGAGAAATAATTTAACCCAGGGCTCCGATCGACAAAATTCCAATTTAGAGTACATAAATCTCGATTTTAAAGGACATAGGGACAAAATTTCGAAATTTAAAGTACACTCCAAATTAAATTCGAAAATATTTATTCGTGCTCAAATTGTTTATATTTCTCTCCTAAATTATCTTTTCTAATAATTTCTTGTTTACACTGAGCATTTTGTGCATTTCAATGCCATGACATGTCAAAATTAGCTGACTTAAGAAGTAAAACCCTGACAGTCTTAACCTCAAGCAAGTTTTTTTCTTTCGTCTATTGAATACTTGCCATTGAGAAGACCTGCTGCAGCCAGGCCCGTAGCCAGGATATTTTTCGGAGGGGGGGGGGGGGGACAAGGTGTAAAAATTTTTCTGCGCCTGATTTTTGGCACCGAAGGTGCCAAAAATTTTGATTTTTTGCGCCGCAGGCGAAAATTTTGAGAATTTTGGAGGTCCTTAAGCCAGATTTCTTCCATTTTTTGCGCCGCAGGCGAAAATTTTGAGAATTTTGGAGGTCCTTAAGCTAGATTTCTTCCATTTTTTCAAAATGTTGATTTTAAAGTACATACTTTCAATAAAGTACAAATTCAATTTCGTAAGTACGGAGGTCGATTTTAAAGTACTGTACTTTCAAATAAAGTACGAATCGGAGCCCTGATTTAACCGTCTTAAAATGTGACTGATATTAAATGAAAGGGAATTTCTATATTAATTTACCAATTTTCTTTTATTCCTTACTATTATGATTATGGGCAATTAAATAAGAAAAATGTACGTATTTCTAATAAAAATTAAAATAATCGGAACTTTATTTTAAAAATAAATCTATTGCTGCAACAATAATTTCAATTTGTGTTACCTCAAATTTGCTAAAAAATTTTAGTCTTTTTGTTTATTTGGGAACTTTAATGGTACCAAATATTTATGATACAATATTAAAATTAGTATTTAATATTCGAAAAATATTTTTTCGAAGAAAGTAAAATTCTGTTCAAGTAAATGTAATAAAAATGGATAATTAATTTTAATTATTTTTTCGATCAAATAGAAATCTAAAAAACTGATCTTTATAATAAAAGTTAAAGTATAGTAAATGTTTAGCAAATGCCAAATAGAAACTTTGGCCTACTGGCACTTATTTTTTGTTGCTTCATTACTGATTGAGATATCGGGATCTGTTTATTACATTAATCTGTTAATTAGAGTTCAAATTGTTAGAATTCAATTGAGTTCAAACTTTTCAAATTGCCGGGACCGTAATTAAAGTTATCTTTTAAACTGGCTAGAGAGAACCCCCGCAAATCCTGAAAATCAGATTTTTTATACACTGGCTCGGACTTAGTTTCATCATAAATTGTTAAAACTTAAATTTAATAAGTTTGTTGATAATTTCTCATTATAAATAGAAATTTATAGAAAATTTAACACCAAATTATTTTAAATTCTACCCGGTCACGCTGACAAATAGAAACTTTCCTACAATGAGTTTCAGAGGGATTTTTATTTATTTAAATGTAACGCCTGACGAAAAAAATAAATATTAGAATAGTAAATTTCTTAGAAAATTAAAGGAAGTTTTTAGAAGAAAAAGTAAAAATTAATTTAATTATTTGAATTTTTTAATTATATTTATGATCTTCAAATTTTTCAGCAAAATAGAAACTAAATGGACGCTTATATTTGCAGCAATAAAATAGTAGTTAAAATGCCTAGGAAGAGTTTCAGAATTTTTATTTTTTTTTATTTTTAAGTTAAATTAGAAGTATTTTTAGAAATACCTACATATATGCTATATATTTTATTTTCCAAATGAATTATTGCCAAAAAATTAAAATTATACAAAATTTTATTATTTATTCTTACTCAAAAAAGTTCATTTAATTAAATTTATTGACAATATTTTTATTTGTCTTTTATCCAAATAATTTTTAAATATTTATTTATTTATTCACTTATACAATTCCCATATTTTGTATCCTCATGAGTATCACGATTGCAGATTAAATTAGGACAGCATTTGTGGTAATAATCATCACAACGAGTATTGCTATCATTAATACATTTTATTTGGGTAAATTTAGTTGTCGTTTCTCTGTTAAATTTAAAAAATACGTTAAATGTTTCTAAAATTTAGATAAAAAACGATTAAATTAATAAAAATAACCAAAAATTATCTTTGCTTTTAAAAATGAGCAAAACTGAGAGTAAGGGTTTCTATCTCTCAATTTTATAATTTCAGCTAGCTAATAATTATTGCCTAGCTAATTAATCTCATAAATCTCGTTGTCTCTCCTTTACCCTTACTTTTATTAATTTTCTAAAAATTCCAACACTGCGACGTGGAACTCTACTTTTAATTACACAAATCCGCTAGACAAAATATTTAATGAATAAATCTTTTTTTCTCCTTCATCAATATTTTCCGCCCAGCCTCCGAAAAATTGAAAACTCCGTACTCATCATATCCATTCATGAATGTTCGTGGGACAACCGTGAAACCCCCTGGGAAGATTTATATATTCATTAAATATATTTAGTTTTTAGTTTTTAATTTTATTTCCTAAAAAACAATTTTTCCTCACCCTTTTCTGACACATTTTCCATAACTTATAGGGTCATTTGTTACACGAACACATTCAGTATTCTTACCACAACAATGATAATATTCATTATCACAACCTGGATAACCTGTTCTAATACATTTAGTGTAATTGTAGACAGATTGGAATAAAATAAAAATTGAAAATAAAAAGAAAATGGTTTGGAGTTTGAATGACATTATTTTTAATTTTATTTTTTTTAATTCTTAAATTTGAAAATTAAAGTAAAATTGAATATTCAAAATAAAATAATTTTATTATGTAAAATCAATTAAGTTTTTAAATATCCCCCCTTGGAATTTTAAAATGAATGGGGGTTTGGAGGAATTGATCCCGATACAGAATGAGGTGTATATAAAATTTAAGGTATAGCTTAAGATAAGTAGTTGATCTACTTTAAATTTTTAAATTGTGGACGTCTAATGAGATTTGATTGAAACTAAAACTATCTACATATCTCTTTGGTGATTAAAATAAAATTAATTTTAAAAGATATATTTGAATTTAAAAATTAAAAGAATATATAAATAAAATTGTAGTCTGGTTAATAATCCAAATATGGATTCAATTTTTATTAAATAAATAAATCCTCAACATCCCTTCCATAAAAGAAAAATTTAAAAAAATATTTGTTTAATCAGGCATTTAAATTTAAAAAAGGAAAAAACTTTATTTTAAAAAATTTAAAGGAATACGTATATTAATTTTTTCAATTTTTAAATCCATTGATGTAACGTAATGCGTATATTAATTATCAATGTTTGCTATAATTGATTAATTTTTTTAATTAGAAATTATTTTAGAAACATAAATTAAAAAAAATTTTTTTAATATTTTAAAAATTATTTATCGTTAAGGAAAATAAAATAAAAAAATCCAAATAATGAATTTAAAAAATTAAAGTTAAATTTAAAAAGACAAAATAACAAATTTTAAAAAATTCTTTAACTAATATGATTGTCAATATTATAAACAAAAGGCTTTGACAAAAGATCATTTCCAAAATTAGTTTCCACAGAACAAGACAAAAGTCCAATAAATGGATAGAAATTAATGTTATCCTCTGCGAGTACAATATTTTTACCTAAGAATTAAAAAAAACATTTTCTATTTATTACGTATTAATTAATTTTATTATTAATTAAATTAATTAATTTTGAAAAATTAAATTTTCTCCTCACCAATTTTATTTCCATTTTTAGTAAAAAATACATAAGCTTTTGTTTTCAAATCATTTTTTGGAGGGAAAATAATTCCACAACCAAAAACATCTCCATCTACCCATTCAAACTTTTCTATATTTCCCCAAGTAGTGGCATTATTGCACAAAAATATTTTTGCATTTGGAACATCAAGGCCAATACTTGCATAACACCTAAAAAATTGTTTTTATTTATTAAAAGTAAGAATTGGCTTATAAGACTGGGAAATATTGAAAAATAAAGTACGAGCGAGGTAAAAGTTTAATCCCGGGCTGACTTCAATCCTGCGACCTCCTGGCTGGCAGCTATTGCTAGGCGCTTTCACTCACCCCGTATGTATGAACAGGTGCTCTACTAACTGACAAGCTTTGTCGAATGGATATTGTGAGCTACTGGGACGCTTCTTTCACCTTCTTTTTTAATAGATTTTAATCCCCCGCCTAGTGTTCGTTTTAATGCTAGGCTAGCTAAATCCCTCTCTTCCTTATAATAATATATGTAGATAATAGAATGGGATTAGCAAATCTTAGCGTATAAAAAATATTACATTTTCGAATTATGTACTTGATATATTTTCATTTCAAAATAAACTAAAGACGGAAGACTGTCATGACTTGAAGCTTTGTTGAATGGATATTGTGCAGACAAACAAATCCATTTATTTTCGCTATTCCAATCATCAACATTTTTATTTCTATATTTTATTATTCCATTCTCATAAACATTAACATATCCATTTCCATTTTCACAATAACCAGTAGGTAAATTAGAATTAATACATTTATTTCCACAACAAGAATTTTCATTTTTAATTGAATTTATTTTATTTGTTCTTTTCACAAAAACAATTTGTTTGTCATTTTCTTTATTTAATTGATCCAATTTTGTTGTTAATTCATCAATTTTAATACTGAGAGAATTAATTCTTCTTTCCGCCTTAAATTATAATATTTTATTTTTTTATTACAAATTATAGTAAACCCCTTAAGAATTAATTTTTAATTATCCCGCAAAAGAACAAAATTTTTGGAAATTAATATCTAAAATCGACAAAAAAAATTTTTAAAATACCGTTTTGACTTGCAATTCTAAAGAACTGATTTTCTCATTTTTTTCCCGAATTTCAGTAAGAAGAGAATTATTTTCTACAAGAACATTAGTCTTTTCCAAATTTAATTCTTTAATTTGTTTTAAAAGTTGTTCATTCTAAATTAAAAAATTAATTAAAGAAAAGAAGAATTTTAACATTTTTTTCTGACTCATATGTAAGATGAATTTCACGAAGCTCATCTTCAAATTCTGATCTCTCCAAGTAAATTACTCCAATTTCATGTTCACGTCTATATTCAGAATCTTTTAATTTTTTATTTAATTCTTTATTTTCTTCTTCAATTTTTAACATTTTATTTTTATATTCCTCCAATTCTTCCAATAATTTATTTTTTACTTTAAAAATCCCCTCATTTTCATTTTTCATTTTAGCCAAATTAATTAATTCCAATTTTTTATCTTCTTCATATTTTTCAATTTTTAATTTATTTTCTTCCAATTCTTTTAATAATTCTAATTTTTCTTTTAAAATCTTCTCATTTTCCTCTTTTATTTTTCCAAATTTTTTTTTAATTTTAGACACTTGATCTAAAGCTCCATCCGATGTCTTTTTCAAAATTTTAATTTCGTCTTCTTTTTCATATTTGTCCAATTCTAAATATTTTATTTTGTTTTCTTGTTGTTGTTGCTGAAATTAATTTTTTAAATTTATATAAAAAACTTTAAAAAATCTTAAATTTATTTTTTACATTTCCATTTGTTTTTTAAATTAAATGAAAGTAAAAAATTAGATTTGCCCGAAACCCGATACATGAAACTCTGCCTTTTCCTCAATCCCGAATAATAAGGAGAATGAGATTGCTAAATGGGGAACAAGGATATACTCGAGATGGACCAACTAGATTAATCATTAAATACCTCTTTAACTTCCATTTCTAATGAACGAATCTTTTCATCTTTTTTCTGAATTTCTAATTGTAATTGTTCATTTTTTGTTATCTCATCTAGATCTTCCGCTAAATCTTTGATTTCCTAAAAATTAAAATTTTTATATTATTATATAATTCTTTAAGCAAATAATATTTCAAACAGTACAAAAAATTTAGTTATTTCCAAGAAATTTTAAGAAAAATTTTACTTTAATTTCCTGTTCATATTTCCTCTTATTTAACGTAATTTCCAGACGAAGCGAAAATATTAAATATTCAGAAATTTCCAATTTTTTGTTTAATTCCAACAAAATTTTTTTCATATTTCTCATTTCTAATATGTCATCTCTCAATTCCTCTAATACATCTTTAAATTGCTCTAATAATTCTAATTTTTCTTTATAAATCTTTTTATTTTCCTCTTTTAATTTCACAAATTCTTCTCTAATTTTAAAACATCCATCCACAGCTTCTCCCATTGTTAAAATTTTATTTTCATAATCATTTTTAGTTTCTTCCAAATTTTCTTTTAAGATTTTAATTTCCTCTTCTTTTTCCAATTTATCCAATTCTAAATATTTTATTTTTTCTTTTTGTTGTTTTTGCTTAAAATCTTCACTCATTTTCTCATTCAATTCTTGTAATTGTTTAATTATTGTTTGATTTTGACAGAATCCTTGTTCTTGAAGATAAACATTATTTGCAGAGAAATTTTGTTTTGTTGAGTTAATTGTTAACTATTTAAATGAAATGTATTGTTAAATTTAGAAGATTAATTAGTTAATTTTAAGGGAATTTGAAATTTAAGTTTATTACAGAGGATAAACAAGAGTGATTAAATTAACTATAAATGGCAATATAATTTTTAATTAATTTATTAGTAGGCTGATTTTCATTTGTCCAATTAATCTATCCTTTAATTAAAAAAACCCCCTACCAAATCAAGTTTAGCCAAAATTAATTGAAAAGCCAAATTTGTTTTGTCTTTTTCAACCTAAAAATAAATAAAATAAAAATAATTTTAATTAATTAATTACCTCCAATAATTTTATACGATTTAAACTATCTTCAAAAGTTGAAGTAGAACAAGAACATAAAGAGGTAGATAAATTATTATTCGAATTTTGTAGATTTTCACTCATTTTAATGAAACCTAATTTTTAAAAACTCAAAAAATTTCTGATAAAATTTTAAAAAATTTGAAAAGAAAATCTAGAAAATTTGTTAAAATCGACAAAAGTTTGTTAAAAATAAATTAATTTTTTATTATAAAAAATTAATATTTATAGGGAGGAATGAGGTTAAATTTATCTTTTCCCTCTCCTTAATTAACAGCAAATTCACCTTCAGCAAATAATTAATTTACAAAATTCAAATTTTTATCCGTATATTATGTTTTCTCACAAAGGATTATATTTTTGAGAAGGTTATATTTTTCTGCCGATGCAAAACTTCATTTGGTTTCTGTGAATCAAGGATCGGTTTCGGAATTTTCAAAATCGAAAATTGAAAGAAAAATTACTCTTACACGGACTTGTCAAAACACGGCACGACCAAAATACAGGCCATACCAAAAACACGGTCCAGAGATTGAATCTGCATTTTTGTTTTTAAAAATATTCTAATTTCAAACAAGAACTACACTCCTCCACAAATGTATAAGGGCACATGTATTTTCGCAATTTTTTTACTTCCAATGATCCAAATTTTCTGAAAATTTAGATACACACCTTTTATTGAATAACTAATAAGATGTGCATCGATTTTTGGCTGATTTTTTATTTTAAAAATTTTTAGACAAAAATTTGCATTTTCGGCCTCCACAAAAGTGTAGGGGCACTTACAAAAAAGATATTTCCAAGATTAGAAAAAATCTACAAAAATTCTAGCAAACATACATAATGATATTATGAAAAAATAAAAAAGAACTAGACCCATATCTTTACCCGGAGCCGAGATCCTGAGACCTCGAAAATCAACGTAAATCAGGGGTAAGGCTCTTGGATAGTATTTTGGTCATTTCGTGATCTGGGTAGACCGTGTTTATCGTTTCATGTTTTGTTCCGTATTTTGGCATTCCTTGTTTTGCCCCTCACCCATATTTTCAGAGCTACTCCAAATTGGTGGAAAATCACTGATTAATATTTCAACGTATGATTTGGGTGATTAAGAAGAAGAGTAGATTCTAAGGAGATCGAGGTTTAATAAGGATAAAATCCGTGGGATTTATGGTTCTAAACAAAACTATGAAACTAAATCTTCGTTGGAAGAACTTTTTTATGATGCTACAAGTTATTAAAATATATGATTAAACTCTGTTTAACAAAACAGATCTCGTTGATTGTAATGCCATTCGACTCAGCTTGATAAGCTATTTAGAGCGATATATACTTTTAAACTTAAAAATAAAAAATAAAAATAGAAAAGGAAAAAAGATAGTCAAGTCAGGCAAAGTATCGACCGAAAACAGTCGAAATGGTTATCATATAATTCGATACATAGTAGAATTGGTTTCAGTTTTATACATTTTATAAAAAAGAATAAAATTCGGATTAATTTTTTTCATTTAAAATGTTTTTAAAAATCGAATCAGAAAAAAACAATCAATCATTTAAATAATATAATCAAGATCATATTTAAAAGGATTGGATACAAGATCATCTCCAAAATTTGTTTCAACTGAACAAGACAAAAGTCCAATTAATGGATATAAATTAATGTTATGATTCTCAAGAAAGATTCTTTTGCCTAAAATTTAAAGATAAATAAAAAATTTGTAAAAATTATTCAATCAAAGCTTAATTTAAATATTAACATTCACCAATTTTATCTTCATTTTTAGTAAAAAATACATAAGCCTTTGTCTTCAAATCATTCTTTGGGGGAAACACAATTCCACAACCAAAAACATCTCCATCTACCCATTCAAATTTTTGTTGATTTTCCCAGGTATCTGAATAATTACACAAAAATATTTTTGTATTCGGAACATCTACACCAATACTTGCATAACAACTAAAAAATTTAATTTTAGAATACCCACCCATTAATTCCCCTTTATCCTCCTTTGATTAAAAAAGTTAATAATTACATGTTTGAATTTAATTCTTTATATATCGTTACTTCAAAATAAAATAAAGAATAAAGATTTCCAGGCTTAAATGGTTTGGAATATGGATATAGCCCATATAAACAAATCCATTTATTTTCCTTTGAAAAATTAAATTCATCTTTTTGTTTATTTCTATATTTAATCATTCCATTTTTATAAACATTAACATATCCATTTCCTTTTTTACAAGTATTTGCAGATAAATTAGTATTAATACATTTATTTTCACAACAAGTATCTTTTTCAACTATACTTATTTTATTAGGTTTATTCACAAATACCTAAAAATAATTTTAAAATTCTGATCTAAACAATTAAAGCTTACAATATGTTTAACATTTTCTTTATTTAATTGATCCAAGTCAGAGGTTAACTGAGAAATTTTAACATTAGAAGAAGCATTTGTTTTTCCAATCTTAATAATATATATTTTATATTCTGTTAAATAAAAGTAAATAGTAAGATGCTGTTACGGATTACCAGAAACCTGGACTTGTTCAACCCGAAACCCGACCTAACTTTTTCTTAACTCAAAATATCTCTGAGTAGAGGAGAGATGATAAAATTGCTAGAAGTAACTGATACCGTTTTGACTTCCATTTCTAATGAAAGAATCTTTTCATCTTTTTTCTGAATTACTAATTGTAATTCTTCAAAATTCTTTTCATTTTCCTCTTTTAATTTTTCAAATTCTTCTTTAATTTTAAAAAATTCATTTAAAGCTTCTTCCAATTTTAATATTTTATTTTCATAAACATTTTTATTTTCTTCCAGATTTTCCTTCAAAATTTTAATTTCCTCCTCTTTTTTCAACTTATCCGATTCTAAATATTTTATTTTTTCTTTTTGCTTTTTTTGCTGAAATTATTTTTAATTTATAAAAAATAAAAAAAATTATTAAAAAGGCTAAACAAATAATGATAAAATAGATAGAAAGTGACCTTATAATTCTTAATTTATCTACTAGTACATAATAGTCACAATCTTTTATAATTTAAAACCCCCTACCAGTTCAAGTTTATCCAAGATTAATTGAAAAGCCATATTTGTTTTATCTTTTTCAACCTAAAAAATAAATAAAATAAAAATAATAATAAAAATAATGATAAAAATAATTTTAATTAATTAATAAAAAAATGTAAGGCCTGTACAAAGTTCAATTTTTTTATTTTAGTTTTCAACTAAAATAATTAATTAATTACCTCCAATAATTTTATACGGTTTAAAGAATCTTCACAATTAATAGTAGAACAAGAACATAAATTACTGGACAAATCATCATTAGAATTTTGTTGATTTTCACTCATTTTAACTAAAATAATTTTTAAAATTACATAGGAAATTTTTGTTAACAATGTAACGAATTTAGAGAGAAATATGTATTTTCAAAAATTTCATAACACCCTAATCTTTAAAATTGTATTTATAGGTTATAGGGACTAAATAAATTATTTTTCTTCCCCTTCCTTAATTCAACATCTAATTTCCTCTAGAAAATAATTCAAATAACATTTACACATTTCTTATTTCTCAAAAGATTATTTTGGAAAGAGAAAAGTTTTTAAAAATTGTTGAGGAATGATGTCGTTTTTTACTTAAAATTTGAAATTTTTAGCCTGGAGCTAACTGTGCATAACAAAAATCTGCCAATACAAAAATTATTCGAATCAATTCTATAAAAAAAAGTTATTTTTAATATCTACTAGTTAAACTAGTTAAACCAAACTAGTTTAACTAGTAGTCTACTAGTTAAACCAAAAATACAAATTTACAATCATCAGGGGCTAACTGACAAGTGACTACTCAAGTTTTGAGGACTCCGAAACTTGGGGATATTAAAAATAACTTTTAATGGGATCATCACTCGAATTTTTTTAAATTTTCACACATTTTACTAAAGTAAACTAATTTTTAAAAACTAAAAAAGTTTTTCCAAAATGTAATAAATTTTTATGGAAGTATACTAATAAATTTGATAAATTAAAAAACGTCTGTTCAAAATAAAGTAATTTTTTATTTTAAATATTAATATTTATAGGGAAGTATGAGGTTAAATTCATTTTTCCTTCCTCTTAATTCCCCGTCAATTCACCTTCAGCAAATAATTCAAATACATAATTAAGTTAAAAATCCAAAAATTTGTATCGGCAGGCAATATTTTATTTTCTCAAAAGGGTTATTTTAGGAAAGGAAAAAATTTTGCCTTTAAACTAGGGTTCGATATTACGGGGCGGTTGCTGGGTTTTCAATGAACAGGGATAACGGGAAATTCGAGTTAAGGAAAAGGGGCGAGGAGGCCCCAGCGAACTTCCCCCGGGTTACTATAGATTTAATTATCTACTGTAGTTAAATTTTCAAAAAGTGATAAGAGATATGAAAGAACTGGCTAGGTTTATTTTAAAATTGTTCTAACTTTTATTGAAAATGGAATAAAATTCAAGACTAAAACAGTTTTTCAAAAAGTGTTTTTTAAAACAAATCAAACAACTTATAAATAAAAAAATAAAAAACAATCAATCATTCAAATAATATAATCAAAATTATATTTAAAAGGATTGGATTCGAGATCGTTTCCAAAATTTGTTTCAACTGAACAAGACAAAAGTCCAATTAATGGGCATAAATTAATCTTATCATCTTCAATTAAAATTCTATTTCCTTAAATTTAAAAAAATATATTTGAAAATTTATAAAAAATATTGAAGGAAAAAATATGTAAAATCCGTTAAATCAGTTTGTCGGAAGTCTTAATTTTTTTAATTTAAATTTTCTCCTCACCAATTTTATTTCCATTTTTAGTAAAAAATACATAAGCCTTTGTTTTTAAATCATTCCTTGGTGGATAAACAATTCCACAACCAAAAACGTCTCCATCTACCCATTCAAATTTTTGATTATCTTTCCAAGTAGTCGTCGAATAATTACACAAAAACATTCTTTCTTCTAAACCAACAAAGCCAATACCAGCATAACAACTAGAATTTTCATTAATTTATTTTATTAGATTTTTAGTCTTTTGATTAAATTTAATTTTTATTTATTTAAATTTAATAATTACATTTCTGAATTTAATTCTTTATATATAGTCACTTCAAAATAAAATACAGAATAAATATTTCCAGAATTAATTGGTTTAACATATGGATATTGCCCATATACACAAATCCAATCATTTTCTCTTTCAAAACCAAATTCATCCGGCAATTTATTTCTATATTTAATCATTCCATTTTTGTAAACATTAACATATCCATTCCCTTCTTTACATCTATTTGAAGACAAATTATCAGAATTACTAATACATTTATTTTCACAACAAGTATTTTTATTTGAAATTTTATTTATTTCATTAGGTTTATTCACAAATATCTGAAAATCATTCCAAAATTTAAATGTAATTTATTCATATCAGGGTGACCCTTTCCAAACCACCAAAAAAGGTAAGGCTTCACAAAAAGAGAGCAAAAAGTGGGCGAAATCGGTCAAGAAGGAAGCTTTATTTTAACAACTTAGAAATCATTCGAGTTTCAAATGAAAAGCTTAATTTTTTCATATTTTTAATTAGTTTAACGGAATTGAAAAAATCAGGATAAGAAAGAAATAATGCATATGCCTGAAAGAAATTAAACTAAAGATTTTTTCCGGATTTTTATAAGAGCCAAGAAGTCAAAAATTTTCCTTTATCGGCGACGCAGGCGAAAATTTTGAGAATTTTTAGACGACCACGAAGCTGGATTTCTTCCATTTTCAGAAAAAAAAATGGGACAAAAAGGGGAAAGTATAGAAAAGGGGGAGAAAAGGAGGCGAAAAAGTCAAAAAGGGGCAAATGCCCCTTAAAGGTGATAAAAGGATCACCCTGCTTTAAATTCTTACAATATGTTTAACATTTTCTTTGTTTAGTTGATCCAATTTTGAGGTTAATTCAACAATTTTAACATTAGAGGAAGCTTTTGATTTTTCAATCTTAAAAAACGTAAATTTCTCAAAAATTTTAAATTTTTTTAATAGAAGGTAAAAAATTAAAATGTTGAGGATTGGGAGAAGCGATTGTCACACCTGAAACCCAAACATCTAAAACCTTGACTTTTTTTCTCAAGCCGAGACATCAATGATAGGAAAGATAAATTTATTAAATACCGTTTCGATTTCAATTTCTAATGAACGAATCTTCTCATCTTTTTTCTGAATTTCTAATCGTAATTGTTCGCTCCTTGTCAAAATTACATCTGTCTAAATAGATATTCAATTTAGAAATCAAATCTAAAATAATTACAAACATTTTCATTTCCTTCATAGCTAGCCTCGCTAAAATAAAAATTACGCTCATTAAAAATTTTGTTTGGCTCTAAATCTTCCGCTAAATCTTTAATTTCCTAAAATTAAAATTTTTATTTTATAACCTTTTTATGTTTTTAAAATTAAAAAAATATCCAGATAATATTTCACAAAATACAAAAAATTATTTTTAAGAAAATTTTACTTTAATTTCTAGTTCATATTTCTCCTTATTTTCTTCAATTTCCTGTCGAAGTTGGAATATTAAATTTTCAGATTTGTTCAATTTTTTATTTAATTTCTTGTTTTCTTCTTCAACTTCTTCCATTTCAAGTTTATTCTTTTTCAATTGTATTAATAATCCAGCTTTTTCTTTTAAAATATCTCCATATCCATTTTGTAATGATTCAAATTCGTCTTCAAGTACAGACAATTCATTTACAGCTGAATCCCGTTCCTCTTCCAATTTTGCCATTTTATTCTTGTATTCATCCAATTCATTTTTATTTTCTTCCAAATTTTCATTCAAAATTTTAATTTCCTCTTCTTTTTCCAATTTACTCAATTCCAAGCTTTTAATTTCCCCTTTTTGTTTTTCAACTTCAATTTCCAATTTATTTTTATTTTCAAAACATTCAAAGTGCATTTTTTGTAAAGAATTTAAAATTTTTTCCTGAAATTTTTAAATCAAAAAATTAAATTTAAATCATTTTTTACATTTCCACTCATTTTCTCATTCAATTCTAGTAATTGTTTAATTATTGTCTGATTTTGACATAATCCCTGTTCTTGAAGATAAACATTATTTGCAGAGAAATTTTGTTTTGTTGAGTTAATTGTTAACTATTTAAATGAAAAATTTTATTTGTTTGATAAAGGAGATTGTTTGGTTTAATTATTATGCGGGTCTTGAAAATATCTCAAAAACAAATTTATTAGGAATAATTAAAAATTAGATTGAATGTGAAACTATAATTATTGATTTATTTGCATCGTTGTCCAATAATCTAACCCTAATTAAAAAAACCCCCTACCAAATCAAGTTTAGCCAAAATTAATTGAAAAGCCAAATTTGTTTTGTCTTTTTCAACCTAAAAAAAATAAATAAAATAAAAATAATTTTAATTAATTAATTACCTCCAATAATTTTATACGATTTAAAGAATCTTCAAAAGTTGAAGTAGAACAAGAACATAAAGAGGTAGATAAATCATTGTTAGAATTTTGTAGGTTTTCACTCATTTTAATGAAAAATAATTTTTAAAAACTAAAAAAATCTTGTTAAAATTGCAATAATTTATGAGGAAATATTTTTTTAATTGATAAAAATGTTAAAGAATAATATATAAAATATTAACTAATTTTTTCTAACCGAAAAATCTAATATTTATATTAAGAAAGGAGTTAATAAATATACTACTTTATTTTTTTTTCTCCCCGTCTCTAATTCCCTCCGTCAACTTAGCCCCAACAAATAATTCAATTACAAAATTTCAGATTTGTAGGTTATATTTATTTTTATTTTCTCAAGAGGATTATTTTGGAGAGAAGAAAGTTTAAAAAATTTTTGAAGGATGATATTAATTCTATTCCAAAATTTGAAACTAAACTTTACCTTGATTCCCATTCCGAGATCAACACAGAAGGTCAAAACCCTATTGATCAAATTACCCGGGTGGTCAAATTCAAATATTTGGGAACCTCTAGTTGATCGTCCCACTCTAATAAATGCCCCTTTGGAATGTGATGGAGAAATAAAATGCTCAGTCATTCTATTAAAGGAAATACGGTAGTTCAATATACGTACTAAAAAATTTAAATTTTATTCTAATAATTCATAAATTTCCATGAAAACAGCAATTTTTTGAAAAAATCAAATTTACAAAAATAATCAAAAATTAAAATCTTTAAATAATATGATTGTTAAAATTGTAAACAAAAGGCTTTGTCAAAAGATTACTTCCAAAATTTGTTTCCACCGAACAAGACAAAAGTCCAATAAATGGATATAAATTATTATCCTCTGCGAATAAAATGTCCAACAAAGTAAAAATGTCCAACAAAGTAAAAATAAACAATTTAACGAACTAAAAATCAATAATGGGACTAGGCACTGATTTTTTCCAATTTTGGACTGATTTTTTTAGATTTTGCACTGATTTTTAGGCAAAATTTCGAAAAAAATCGCTAAAAAGGCAAAAATAGTACCAAAAAATTCAAAATAGGCAAGAAGGCACAAAAATTCCAAAATAGGCAGAAATAGGCAAATTAAAAGTCGTGCTAGACTCTTCGGACTAAGCTAAAAACACGTTTTTTGAACGTATTACATCATCCCAAGCTTGCAGAAAAAATAGGCATTTGCCTATAAATCACAGCCTTAGTAATCATTTACATTATAAAATTTGATTTATTTTCAAATCAAACAAAAACAACAAAAGACAAAATTAATAAATCAATCATTCAAATAATATAGTCAAAATTATATTTAAAAGGATTTGATTCTAAATCATCTCCAAAATTAGTTTCCACCGAACAAGACAAAAGTCCAATTAATGGATATAAATTAACATTATTATCTTTAAGTAAAATTCTTTTACCTAAAAATTAAGAAAATAAAGTTAAAAAATTGGCACGCGGACATATGTATCGGGACGGACATATCGGGATATTTCAATGTAAGAACAGTTACCCTACTGATTTCGGGACCTACGGCCACTGGGTCTTGGATAGTATATTGTCCTATTGGGAACAGTTTTTATGTGTTAGAACAAACGTAAAACCGCAAGAAATTATTTTTGTCACACCAATCCCGATATTCTATTCTATCAAAGCTTAATTTAAATATAAACGTTCACCAATTTTATCTCCATTTTTAGTAAAAAATACATAAGCCTTTGTCTTCAAATCATTCTTTGGAGGGAAAACAATTCCACAACCAAAAACATCTCCATCTTCCCATTCAAATTTTTGATAATCTCCCCAATTAGTGGTACTATTACACAAAAATATTATTGTATCGACAATACCAAAGCCAATACCCGCATAACAACTAAAAATTAGTTTGACTAATTTATAAAAATCATTATTAAAATCAAGAGCTCTATCAACAAGATTTATGCAAAATAACGACCATTAGTTCTAAAATTAGAGCTGGGTGGGTACTTACATATCTCCTTAATAATTTAATAGAATGTTACTTTGATCATGTGTGCTTTTTGTGGAGGAACGAAATACTAAAGAATGGGGGGGGGGGTAAAGCAAGAGTACCGGTTAAAATTAACTTTTATTTAAATAATTACATTTTTGAATTTAATTCTTTGTATATAGTCACTTCATAATAAAATAAAGAATAAATATTTCCAGAATTAGTTGGTTTGGAATATGGATATTGTCCGTATACCCAAATCCATTTATTTTCTCTCACAACCCCAACTTCATCCAACAATTTATTTCTATATTTAATCATTCCATTTTTGTAAACATTAACATATCCATTCCCTTTTTTACATTTATTTGAAGATAAATTAGAATTAATACATTTATTTTCGCAACATGTATTTTTATTAAGAATTATATCTATTCTATTAGGTTTATTCACAAATACCTGAAAATAGTTTGAAAATTTTGTACTTTTCTATTATGGGGCTAAAAATTTAAAATATCTAAAAATGTCCTAATATTAAGAGAATATGTGCGAATA